CAGGGGCATCGAGACTTGGGTTCCATGTGGTACACCTCAAAGTAGGAATGGCTCCTTAGGGCAGGGTCAACACTGACTGGTGAATGGTGAAGACAGGAACACTGTTTGTGAATCCAACCTTGCCATGACCTGCCTGGGGGCTGTGCCAGCATTTCCAACCAGACTTCTGAAGAACTACCCCTGGAGTCCTGCCCAGCATCAATGACAGGATCACACAAAGCCAGCCCAGAGGTAAAAACATTATTTGTAACTTGACTCCTGAATGCTGAGGCTCAACCTTACAAAGGAACATGAAGGGGCATGAAGGCACGGAGAAGCCGGGGGAAGAACACAGAACCTCATACAGGAACTAGCAAACGGGTCAAACGGTGTGCACAGTCTAGAGTCTCAGGTGTTTCTCTGCTTTTACATCTATTTGTCCTTCACATAACATTATTTAATACCCAGTGCCAACGTGGGAGGGCAGTTGTGCTCTCTTCTGTCTTCTTCTTCCCTCCCTTACTGAACTAGCTTTCCCAAAGAACAGAGGCCTGTGCAGTTTGAGGGCCTCGTAGCTCAGCCTCCCACCTGACCCAGCTGCTTCCTCACCCCCTCTCATTCTACCTTGAGCCCAAATGGCCTCATCTCCCCTCCCCCACTGCCCACTGCACCTCTTTCTAGTTCTACTTCCTTTCTCTCCTTTTCTGTGTAAATCCAGTATTAGTCATTAGTCTGACTCTGCTTCACCCCTTTCCACCATGCCTGAAGTAACTAACGTGGCACACACAATGTTATTGGTGTTCTTTACGTCATAAATCGACTAGCTGCTAAAGGGTGACTGTGTTTTTATAGTAGGCCTACCCTCTGAGAAGTCATTTTTCCCCCAGACAGTATTCCACTCTCATAGACTACTGGAGATTAAACCTGGTGTTTTGAATACAGTCTAGCAGAGAGAAATGACTAAGAAAGTCCATATATTAAAAACAATTATTTTTAATTCTTGGGAGTTTCATCTAAATTACTTTCATTGGAGGCCATTTCTCTGGGATTGATATAATTTTTGGAGATGTCACAATGTCCTAGTTTTTACTGTTTCTTGTGTTCTTGCACTGGATTTGTGTATAGATGACTAGGTCCGTGGTTGAATTTGTTTATTTTTGTTTATTACCAATTTCACTTAAAAATACTATTAGATAATAAGTCACAGATAGCCCTAGCATAATAAAAGGTCCCAATTTTACTAATGGACAAACATCTGTATTAAATGATACCATAGATCCAACAGATCTATTAAAAATGGACCATAGGTCAAATGGTCCTATGAAAAATTTCATCAAATGCTGCAGAATGCACAATGTTTCTCAGCAAAATCCAAAAGCAGTACATGGAAAGAAAAAAGATTAGAGTAGAAATTAAATGAAACAAATACAGCAAAAAAAAAATCATCTAGATTGCCTGTTGGAAAGACAAATAAGAGCAATGAACCCTTATCTAAAGCAGCCCAAATAGAGCAGAGTCCAACTAACAAAATTATAGACAAAAAGGGAGACATTACAACAGGTAGCAGCGAAACTTAAAAAACTACAAGCACTTAAGCTAGAAACGATTATAGTAAGAAAAAGCTAAACTATTATAGTAAGAAAACCTGAAAGAAATGGACTAATTTCCAGATAGATACTATCCTATCAAAGCTAAGCTAAGGGTGGGGGAAATTTAAACAGATCTGTGACATGCAGCGAGGCTAAACTAGTAAGAAACAATCTCCCAACCAAGAACATCCAGAAGCAGACAGATCCACTGCTCATTTCTATCAGACCTTTAAAGAAGTGACACCACCACACTTCTCAAAGTACTGCATATAACAAAAAAATGAGGAGTGCTACAAATGCCTAACGCCAAAACCAGAGGGACACACATCAAGAAAATTACAGACTAATCTCCAGGCTGAAGATAAAGGCAAAGATTCTCCAGACTTGCAAATGGAATTCAAGAACAAATCAAACAGATCATTCGCCACGATCATACTGGCTTCATTCTAAAGATGCAGAAGTAATTCAAAATATTCAAACCAGCAAATGTAATACACCACATAAATGGACTCAAGGATCATCTCAATAAATACTGAAAAGGCTTTTATTGAACATTCCCTTCATAATGCCCAGAGAGACGAGGACAAGAGAAACTTATCTCAATATCATAAAGATTTTATAGAGAAAACCTATAGCCACCATTACATTAAATGAGGGAAACTCAATGCACTTTCAGCAAAATGGATCAAGACAGGTATGAACTTTCTCCATTATTACTCAATACAGTAGTTTAAGATAAGAAAGGAAATAAAATCAACAGCCTTTCTAATATTCCAAAGCAAAGCACATTGAGAAAGAATTCAGGGTAACGACCTCACCCACAAAATAAAACATCCACCTTAAAATATAAAGAGCCAAAGAAGTGAAAGTTGAAAACACCGAAGAAAGAAATTAAAGAAAACATTGTGAGTATGAATTGAAGAATACTGGCTGCACTACGGAAAGCCAGCACACATGCAATGTAACCTCTATGTGTTTAACCAAGAGATGCCAAGTCAGTGTTTGACAGATCACGCACATCCCATGTGGCACCATCTACGCAGATGTGTTATAAAGCCAACCTGGGTGTTGAAAATGTAGCATATATATAAAATGGAACTTGGGGGGGGGGGAGGGTGGCATAAGGAATAATGAAGTCACGTCACTTTTAGAGGAATGGCTGGAACTTGAAATAATCGTATTATCTTTCTCTTGTTTTTTAGATTCCTGCATAGATACATAAAGTCATGACTATGGTATGCAACAAGAATCACTGTCTAGGAAACAAGGTGGACTAAAGGAAAAGGACATAAAGGAGTGGAGGGATGAGGGAATGCAGTCAATGTATAACATATATGCGTGTGAAATGCTTTAAATTAATAACAAACCTGGCAAAACTAGGAACGCAGACTGCGAAGACTTAGACTTGTAAGGCGCTGAAATCTGATTCAACAGAAGAAAGGCTGTATTCTGTGACAGGGTAATTTGAGCAGCCAATCAGGGCCTGAACAGTAAAGCAGCAGCTTGTACTCGGCAGAAATGAGAAATGCAGTTTGGAAATCCATTCTCAGAGGCTAAGAGCCCCTGTGATCCCAAGTTGGGCTTCTCAAATTAGGCCACACCCCCTTCCACATGAGTAGGAAGGCTGCCGGGGAGGATGCTCCTGCCTACTCAGGCAAGGGAACTCAGAAAGCAGAAGAGGAACATGCCTGGCCTTGTTCTCTTCCCTCACCCACTCATACCTCCCAGGGGAGGAGAGAGATTGACAGCTAACACCAGGAGATGAAACTCACCAGTCTCGATGAGGTCAAGGTCAGCAGGTCAGAATCTGCATCAAGGGGAACGATTTCCCCAAATGTTAGTGGCAGTTCAGCAAAGAACCAAGAAACCACAAGGACCATTGGTGTGGTGATACCAGCCCTAAGTTCAGTCCAGGACACTTGTTAGCTAGGGAGAGCTCTAGATATGGCTCAACAATTGGTCCTTTCAGTGAGAGGTGTTACTTCAATTTCTCTTCTGTCTTCTCCTCACTTTTCTCTTTTGATAAAAGGTGTTTTCTATATAATCCTGGTTGGCCTGTAACTCTAGGCTGGCCTTATTTGCCATCATCTTCCTGAACCTGCCTCCTGATTGCCAACATACTAGGCTATTTTTATTTTTATTACTCTGATTTCTGTGTCTCATGTTTTACTTTAGTTCTGGACTTAAGGAAAAAAAAATGCTGATTTGATGCTATCACCATTAACCAATCTCCAATAATCCCCTTGGTAATCTTTTAGCATGCTGCTTACTAGTCTAAGTGTTTTTCAGGAGATATTTTAAAGTGTTCTTTACATATACAAAAGATCCAGCTTGTACTTCAGGCTGTGGTTCGAAGGCAGGTGGAGGATAGGGCACTAGGCCATCAGTTTCACTGTGAAAGAAGATGAAGCATTTAGCTCACCCACCTACCTGTAGACATGGATGGGAGATAAAGTCCTGGGTAGATTGGGTGGGGCAGGATTTGGAAAATGTAACCATTTTTTTGTGAAGAAAGTGATGAGACTTTGGGATGAAGGAGGGATTACATTTCTCTCCAACAGACTCAGCAGTCCACGGTGCAGGTCTTCTGTTTTCTTCACACAGAGTTCCAAGACAGTCACATCCATTTACTTACATGCCTGTGGCTGTTTGTACAATGACTCAGTTGAGTAGCGTCCACATGAACAGAAGTTTTCCCTATCTTGCTCTTTACAGAAAAATGTGCAGATTTACTGTCTATAATGAGAAGTTATTCCAACAGCCAGCAGATGAAGGGAGAGCGTGGGATGCCAGGAAGGAAAGGAGGACCCAGGAGTAGGCTCGGAGGTGGAACCTCTGGGAGGGGTGCAGAGGAGCAGCCAGGGTTGGAAGACACCACGCTTTATCCCCTGGGGTCCTCACCATGGGAGGTGATAGCAATTCTATTAGAAGTGGGAAGACCCACTTGAGATCTGGATCTTTGAGGTAGAAGACCCACCTTTAATCTGGGCCCAACCTGCTGCTGGCAGCCTATCTATCAAAAGGACAGAGAAGGAGGAAGGTCTCTTCTCTTTGCTTGCTTGCTTTCACTCTCCCTAGCAAGTCCATTCAAGCAAGCCCTTTACTGGCATTAGATGCTACTGCTTTGGGACTCCAGCACTTACTGAAGAGCAGCTGAGACATTCAGCTTCGTGGACTGAACAACTCTTGGATCTTCTGTTTGTAGACAGCCCTGTTGGACTAGCTGGGCCACAACCTGTAAGCCACTCTAATAAATCCCCTTATCTACAGATTCATTCTGTCGGTACTATTTCTCTAGAGAGCCCTGACTGATACAAGCACTTTCCACACCACATTGTCCACGTCCACTCCCTAAGCTTCTACAAGGTCACAGAGTTGACCATCCTCAAGTCTTTCAGAACTGGTAGCACATCAAACGACAGAAAACACAGCACAGGTAATCAAAAAGGTTTTAATGATTAATGTTTAGACATTATTTAACAGTGTGGGTATATCCAGATGAGCTAAGCACACTTTGACAGCACGCTATTGAATGTTATAGTTTTTGAAATATGTAAAGACACCTGCAAACAGGTACCTAGGATGAAGACACACACGAACATACACATTCTAGATTTGATAAGGTAAATGTAAACAGATGCTGCAACTCCTTCCAAACAAAAAATCCACAAGACTAATTAGGACCAATTGGCTCCTTATAATACGAATGTGCAAAATTAAAGCATGGTAAACTGGTATTTACATACATATCAAACCCACAATTAGTTTATACATTGTCAATCATCTCCTAAGATGTGTCATGAGTGGTTCAATGAATTTTTTTAAATCAATGCAGAAGGTACTCAAAGGCTAAACTTTCAACACTTTAAAAATGACACACATAATAAAGAGTCCCCACTCGTGTGACCAACGCCTCAAGTGCACTAGACATGATTTTAGGATAAGCAGTCTGTTACTTTTAAACAAGAGTTTTAACCAATCTTAGATGCTAAGCAGAAAAAAATTACAGATGCCACCAAGATTTACACTGGATAAAGCAATTGCTCACCAAACACCCGGTTCCTGCGTGCTCCGGCTCTTAAATTTTACCTCAAAATGCTTATGGTGCTTCCTGGTCTCTTTGTAAATTAGGCACATTTTAAAAGGAAGTGTACGTCAAAGTAGCACTACAGAAAAGAATAAAAAACATTTGGACCCAGGCAACCCGTTCCCCATCACTGTGTGTGTAACTGTCACATAATAAATGTCTCACCGCCTTTCCTGAAAGGTAGTTCTCCTCTCTCCAAGTGGCGGGAGGTCGAATGGCCTTTTTGTCTCCTGTATAAAAACACTAAGCACTTCAGAAATGAAAAGTGGCCTACTCATCCTAGACTCTGGGGGACCAAGGACAGGTACGGAAGCGTCTCAGACACTCTGGACCCTTTCCCCACCCCTTTAAACACATTAATAGTGGCACTCAAAATAAAAAAATAAGATCTGTTAAAAAGCTAAACTGACTATCCCACTAGACTTGAGCCTGCTTATTAAAGCCAGCATCGTAAAACCAAAGGTGCCGCCAGACTCTCCAGCCCCAAGTCACTTGAAGTTACACATCACACAGTAGCTTCATAAATCACACACTGATTCTTCTAAACAGAGCTATTACAAATGAATACAAAGTTGAAACATACCCTAATTAAACTAGTAAGCTTTGGGCCCTGCTTTTAAAGTCTTAAGGCATGTGTGTTTTTCTACTGTTAACAACATTGTACAAATTTACAATCACATGCATGGCCTACAGTTAAAAAAAAAAAGTTTGGATTACAGTGTTTTAAATTGTGAACCACAATTCAGCACCTATCGTGTTACAACTAATAAGGCAACAGCAGTGTCGTATACTACAATAACATTCCCTTTCCACAGTCTAGCGCGGGGGTCGATGAGAGCCCAGAAATGTGAGAAAATCGTATGCCTACTTGTATAATCTGTATACATATTCTAGGGGTTTTGAACTGATGAAAAAGGTCCTACGTAAGTCACGCTGCACATAGTAGGGCCAGACTAGTGACAGCAGCTGTTATGAGCGTCAGGGCACAACTCCTACTGTGCTTACAATCACACGCCGTGCTCTGGAGGCCTCCGCTTGGCTTGTCAATCCTTCCGCTGCTTCCTGGGCTTCACACTGTTTTCCAGGGAAGGGAAGCTGTTGGTGTGGCCGTTGATGGCAGTCATAGACCCGTTCTGGTGGCCCTTCAGGTGCTCTTTCCTCCGAGAGGCCCCTTTCTTGTTGTAAGTCTGAAATGTACAAGGCAAATCAGTGCCTGCTAACCAGATGAACTGTACTGGTCTGCATCTAACTAGGCCTGGTTCCCTTGTCTGATCAACTTCTCCCCATGCAATTCCTGGCCTCAAATAACCATTTTGTTTCAATCACTCTTCCAACCTTTTGAGGTTAGCTTGTATGTTCTTACCCCTAGGCCAGAACAGAAACATTTAGAACAACACCCAGAGTTTCTGTTCATTCTGCTTTGCCTCTTCAGGATGTGGACGGTGGAGCAGTGGGCTAGGTGACCACATGAGCTTCTCCTGCTGGCTAGTAGCAACTCTAACTCTGAGTCATTGCTTATCTTTAGATTTCTCTATTGCCTCAGTAACCATCACGTACAGTACAATGAGCAGGAGCAACTGGAAGAAGGTCCTGTATCAGGCCCCAGTAAAGCACCAGTCAACACGTCACACACAGATGCGTGGGGCACACAGAGAAGCAGCATCTGAGCCTCCAGGTGGCTGATCCACACTATTGGACTTTTCTTGGGACCCACTACCTTTGCCCTTGCTCCTGTCCAGGTCAGTTTGAGACGGAAGCCACTTGGCACTGGCCACAAAAGCCAAAGAATCATCAGTGTCTGCCTGATGGTCAGGTGCCACCAGACAGACAAACCTCTATCAAGCCCCAAACTTGAGCAGTGGTCATCTGAGAAAAATGGGACAAAACGGTAGGTTTCAATTACACCAGAGGATGTGATGGAAACTTCACGGAGCTATGGCAGGCCAGGCAGTGGGGCTGAGAACTTCTGATTGAAAGTCACCTCTTTATTTCTCTGCATTGCCCAAAGAAAAGGAATAAAGCATCCACCAAACATGGCATCCTTTTCCACCTGGGTCCCAAGATGCCCAGGGCAGTATGGAGAGCAAAGATGATCGACCCTTCGTCCCTTCAAAGGTTCTTTCAGAGCACAGTGCCAGCATCCAGCAGCGCCCCACACAGCCAGTGAAAGGATAAAGGTCAGAGGCCAGTGAAGGGTCAGATTTACCTGAATGTAGAAGTTTGTGAAGAGAGCGATCAGGGAAATCATGTATCCGATCTGGAAATACAGCCACCCGAGAGGAAAGGAGCATGGCCAGATGACTCCACAGGTTGTCTGGATGATTGTCAGCACAAACTGGACCTAGAGGGAAAGGCCAGGGTTCGAGTTTTTTATACTATGCTTGATTCTGTCCTCTGTAGGTATGCCTCTACTATAGGTTCCCATCTCTCCCCAAAGCTACTTGAACCACTTTTCTCCAAAAGTCTAGGGCTCAGCCCAGAGAGGTAAGACAGAGGAGTGAGGTACATGTTTAAAGGGGCTAGTGATGTCACTCATGATGCATGGTCTGACTGATTTGATTCCGACTTGGTATCTGTGTTCACTTTGGTGTGGCGAAAGCTGTCATGAACATGTAAATGCTTCTTGGTGAAAATGCCAGGTCCACAGGTGACTTCTGATGAGTGACCCTTGAAAAGCAGGTGGACCTGTATGACCCACTCAAAGGTGTTAAAGGTTCCCGACTACTCAAGCACCTTCAGCAGCCCAGTGTGAACTCAGAAGCTCATACCAGCTGTTTCCCTCATTTCCTCAGTCTGGTCCTCTAATCTAAGAACTAGGCAGACAGCACACTGCCCAGCAGGGCATCAATGTCTACAGGGTTCTTCCACATTCTGTCTGCCACAGCCATGATTACAGCATAAATCCATCTCTGCATCCTTTCTCCTCTGTATCAGAGGAGACTAAAGAACAATTATCCTTCCTCATGGGTGAGAAAAAGATTAACAGGGACTGCAGAGCGACTGGCAGAGGTGATAATGAAACACCAGACACAGAAGGAGCTCCAACTTCTCAGAATGTTATTTTTAAATTTTGAAAAAAAAATCAAGATTGATTCAGGGAATCTAAATTAGATTCATTTGGAACAAATGCACATGGCAAGGCTGGGCCGGAGGGTTTAGTGCTTGTCCTTCAGCCTCCGGCTTTAATGTGCTCACCTACAAAATGGAGGGAATATTTGAAACAACTCATGCAAAAATCATTTCCTTAGCATGAGTGCCTGGCATATAAACAAAACAGGCCAATGTTTATCAATAGTATTACTAACTTTTCAGGAAGACTTCATGAGGGGAAAGAAACATGCACTACTGGGCTGGCCACTGGCAAGGCTCAGGAAGAATAGGAAGAATCATCATAAAGACAGACAGTTGTCGGCCTGCCTCTGCCAGAGGCCACTGTCTGAAGCAGTGGGAGCTTCTACCAAGTACTCTGATATGGTGGTTAGAGTTGAGTATCACCTGACATCCACCTTACCCAACAGGTCTCACTGTTAATAAATACAAGGGCTGTGGACTCAGCACCAGAAAGTTCGACCTGAAACTCCTGGGAACATAGGTGAGCAGTTTTCATCTTCATTTTGGAAATGAGAATGCACACACAGGTACATGTGTGCACATTATACGTGTATACACACAAAGCAGGAAAGAAGCCTGCCCTGAAATTGGAAGCTTAAGACTTGAGGCACCCCCAGTCCAGAGCAGATTCCCCACCTACTAGAAACAAGAGCATTGCCTGCCCTGCCTACAACAAGTTTAACTGGGTCAACTGAATTCGAATAAATTACAGGGCAGCCTGGAAGAGGACTGGATCTGGCAGGGAACAAGTTCTGGGCACAGTGACCAAGTTACTCACCAGCTGCCCCTGAGTGATGTACTTTTTCCACCAGAGGTAGGGGCGCATGGAAGGGACAGAGGACAAACCATAGTACGAGTACATGAGGACATGGATGAAGCTGTTGAGCGTCGCACCAAAATATGCTGCGGAAACCAAGGGGACCAGGAAGATGCATTAGAGTTTTGTAAGTAACAGGTGTGGGAAATCCAAGACAATTTTGGAGCTAGAGAAATTCTTCTGAACCAAGGAGGATGACAAACACTGTAGCTACACAGATGTGTAATGAAAAGTCAGTTTCCACCTGGGTGGGCAGGGCAGGCAGCCATAGGACACCTTATACCCAGCGGTCAACAGACCTGCTATGCTTGTGCCCCAGACCTGGCACTTGCAGGTGTGGCTGGCAGACTGGGAAGCAGGGTCCTCCTCCCAAATGCCCAAGATATACCATTTTAGAGTTAGTTCTTTAGAGATGAAAGATCCATTTTACCACACAACTTTCACTTTCCAGTAGAATATCATTTTTAAATATTTTTAATCTCAACAGTAAATACTGAAGTGAAGCAAAGCCATCAGCTTTTCAGACTCACTGGGTTGTGTCACGAGTTTCTAGTGGCTATCACAAAAACTAGTCCTGGAGTCCTCACATAGGTCACGTACACTCTCCAGCTCTCCACAACCAGGTAGGGCTAGTTGTCCCATGAGGTATCCTGAAATTTAAAATACTCCTCCAATGTAATCAAACGGAAGGCTGTCCCTGCTGGAATTGGGACTAGCTTATCCACAGGTGATGAGGGGTGAACGTCAGGCTCCAGTTCAAGAGGGTTAGAGCTCTCTGCCCATCCTTCTGGGGTATTACCTCCCCCAGGCCACTCTCCACAGGTACCATATATAGAAAATCTTTTTCCGTTATGAGCCTGACACAGCTGTGGATCTCAGTGGGCAGAGATAATCAGCAACTATGCTGGGAGCAGACCCAGAGAATCCCAGTCAAACTCTTCAAGGTTAGCATAAAAAGCTTGCGACTGAGATGCTTGTTGGACCCTGAGTGGAACCCAACCACATCCAACTTTTAAAAACTAGCAAATTTTGGTGCAAATTTTCTAAAAAAAAACCCTCATAGCTTCACTCCATCAGACTGGATGAGGACTTCCTAATGTGTAGCCAAGAATACCTAGTTCCGTGACACATGCCGTCCACACTAGACAGAACACTGATTGTGAGGGTCGGTTCTCTCCATCCACTCTACAGGTTCTAGACATTGGACTCACGTCATCAGGCTTGGCAGCAGGCACCTTTATCTGCCAAGCCAACTTACCTGCCCGCTTACTTCCTACTTCTTAATGAGCCCAGGCTGGTATTTCCTTCATCTTACTCATCAGTGTAGGACAATGACCAGAAAAAGGTAGAAGCCTTAGGCCACACAGACTGTTACTAAAAGCAACCACAGGACCTCTCCACAAAGTCCCCGCTTATACAGGGCTGTATCTCGAAGCCAACGAGTTCCTCTGGCAGGTTCAGAACTTCTGGTCTTACTTTAAAGCCTCTGACCTATTTAGAATTGATTTTATGTAGAGTGAGAGGTCTGAGTTTTGCTTCATTGTTTTACACATGGATATCTAATTTTTCCAGAACTACCTACTGAAGAGGCTTGGCTTATTTAACTTTTAAATTAGCATCCAAAGTAATGGGTTTCATCATGGTGTCTCCATACATTGCTGCTGCTGCTCGGTTATCATATGCTGCCCTCCCCAACACTGTCCTTCCCTGTGAAGTCCTCCCCTCTCCCGTGAGCAGTCCCCTCTGTCCTTACATACACTCCATTACCCACACAATTTTCTACCCCCTTAAGATCTCTTCCTCCCCTCTCATGATACTTTTTCTAGTTTTGTGACCTACATATAAATACCATGCACATATACAATTTTATATTTAGGTTTACATATATGTAGTATGTGAGTCTGGCTAACTTCATATCCAGCTGCCTCCATTTTCCTGCACGTGCCACACACGATCTACACTTGCATAAAATCCCACCCTGCAATGTGCATCATCATCTGTGCTTGGCCATCCAGGTTGCTTCCATTTGTTGGCCATTGTGAAGAGAACAGCAATAACCATGAATGTGCTTGTATCTCTGTGGTATGTTACAACACAGCAGCGTCAGATGGTAGTTTTAGTTTCAGTTTTTGAGGAGCCTCCATACAGACTTCCACAGCAGCTCCATGAATATGGAGCAGCACCAGGAACGAGTAAGAATCCTGGATCCCTGGCAGCATTCTGCCTCTGCTGATACTGAATCTAGCACCTCACGGATATGGCCAAATCACCGAGCCACACCCCCAGTGGTTTGATGATAACCTATCTGACAGAAGTCAGATGGGAGTCTCTTTTCCTGACGGCTGAAGGACACTGAACACTTTATTCCTTGGGCATTTGGGTTTCCTTTAATGAACTGTGCACTGTCTTCAACAGTCTATTTACTAATGAATAATGTGTAGGGTTTTTTTTTTTTTAAAGCAATGAACTTATCTGCTGACACCTTTGTCAACAATTATGTGATAGATGTGTGACTTACTTTCCGGCCTTCTCTTCCACTCCTTCAGTCTCCATGTCCCTTAGTTCCTGTGCCCCGCTGTCTTTATTACTACAATTCTGTGGTATAACCTTGGACTGTTCCAGTGCCCCGATGTCTTTGTTACTACGGTTCTGTGGTATAACCTTGGACTGGGTCTTGGGAAGTCTTCAGCATTGCTCTTTCTGTTTAGGATTACTTTGTCTAACATGTGACATGAAGGCAGAAGGAAGGGTAAAGGGGACATGAGAGGGTGGGGAGGAGGGACAGATGAGAGAAAAGTATGATGGAGAATGTCACGATGAAATCTTTACAGTGTATGCTAACTGAAGTAACAGTAATAATAAATAGAAAAAGAAAAAACTTGAACACAAACTCAAAAGCTTAACCTGAGGATTTCCAGCAAGAACATTTTTTTCCTGAGGCCTAGCTTCCATGTCTGTCACATGTTCCCTAAACATCCCAATACTCACAATGGCCGCAGGGAACCCAGTTCATCACAAACCACCAGATGTTGAGCATGGTAGCGTGGTGGTAGACATGTAGGACGGTGATCTGGTGGTTGTTCTTGCGCAGGATGAAGAAAAAGGTGTCCATGAATTCTATGAGTTTGGAGAAGTAGTACCACCAGAGGACACGGATGATCTAAGAGCAAAGGTTCATGATTTATCTCCAGTACTTTTCTGGAATGTCACCCAAGACATGATGTACATTCAACATAAAGCTGGGATGGCCCCACTGGCTCTGCAGCTGTCCAGTGATGGCTCCAGCCATTGTGAGAGTCTTTAATCAATGAACATGTGACCCTGGGAGAAATGAAATGTCTCCAAAGGGCTCCTGACACTCTTGCACACCCCAGGACACGGAGGTAGAAGCCAGAGGATCAAGAGTTCAGGCTCGTCTTCAGCTACATAGAATCTGAGGCTACAAAAGACTCCATCTCAAAGCAAAACTAAATCCAAACAAAAATCCCTGGGAGGAAGCTCCAGGCTCAGCAGTACACTTCTGTAGTCTGCAGAGCTGCTGGAAGGAAGACGGAGGCTGGAGCTTGCGGGCCTGGGTTGAGGAAGTATTGAGTCATGAAGGAAATGGAACCAGAGTGTGCAGTACCTGTTTCTGGTCCAACCGACACGCTCAAAGGAAACGCTGGCCATGCTGGGCTTTGACTGTCAGCGTTCTGTTTAACAAATTCCACTTCTCAGAGTGGATGCTGGATTTTACCTTTAACATCACTACTAGAGGACACTTACAAGAGTGACTTTAAATGATCTTTTATGTAAATATGAAACCTGTCAACTGTTCACAGGAGTTCCTTTACAGAGAGGAGGATTTCGTTTTCATTTTATTTATGCCTTTCATGTTCAAATTATCATTCCACACACTCCGGGCTTCTTTCTCTTTTGAAAGTGTCAACAAGAATTGTCAGGATTGAGAGGCTACTGTCTCCTTTGCCTTTTGTATAAGTTATTTATCAAAAACCAAAACCAAAACCAAAAAAACAAATACACACAGACACACCCACCCCTACACACCCCTGAAACAATACCTTCATATCTGATTCTCCCGCACTGCGTGTTCCCTGACAGAAGAAGTTGTATTTGCCTTCCCACACACCTGTCACCAACTAAAAAAGAGGAGAAAAATTAGTTGCTACATCAGAATACTGTTCAACAGAACTTTTTTAGTCTAGAGTATATGAAAATTAACTTGGGGCTCTACAGAGTCAAGTTCGTTGAAAGTAAAATGGTCAGAGTGAATGGTGAAGAGAAAAGTCTTCAACACTGCACGCGCTTTCATCCAGTCACCATACCTGAAGGGTGAAGAGGGGCCTCTCTCAGGCTGCTGAAGACCCATCCAACTCCAAGATGTCATCCTGTCTCCTCATGCTACTTTCCCTAAGCCCGGGCTCCTGAAACTGACTTACAGTTTGGAGCCATCTGTATAAGTCAGTCATGAATGAATTTGTAGTTCTAACAAGCCCTTCAATTGCCAGTACCAAGACCATTGGACTGGAGACACACTTTTAACACTAGGATGAATATAGAATATAGTCCATCTTCCTATTCCTTTTCCTTTCCTGTTGCACTGTCTACCTCTAGGCTTACAGATTAGCCATCTGCAGAATCCATCTGCAGACGCAGAAAGAACCACAGAATGGGCAATGGAAGATGTGGTTTACGCTGGCTTAGTGACAGGGCCTGTTTCCTCACAGACACATAGTGAGGTGCATAGCCTACGATGAGACCTTAGAACCTACTTTAGTGGTCAGGCTAGAAGGTTTAGCTATTCTACTTCGACACTGCCCTACTGTATACTATTTATCTATGAAAACCACAGCCCCTGCTTGTTTGATTTCTTCTACAGTCTAGAACAATCCTGAGTGCTCCTGATGGCCACGGAATGCCAGGAGATGCCCGACAAAGTGTACTTCGAGCCTTATGTCATCCACATATGAAGCACGCACAAAGACCCAGTCACCAGTTATCAAAGTGTGTGTCCCTGTCCAGCCTACCAGCAACACTCAGGACCCCTGGCAAAACACAATCTTGAACTATTTCAAACCCTGGGGAAGAAAGATCACCAAGGCTGGCACTCAAAGTCCCTGATCACAAATTCTTGAGAATCTAATGATTCTTCAAGATGCTTCAAAGTACTGTCTTCAATCCCAGATCTGATACTACCCAGGAACTTGTTGATAACAGCTTTAGTCCCTACCCTAGATGATCTTGTGACCCTGAAATTTATGAGCAAAAGCCCATACTGGATGTGTGTGTGTGTGAGAGACGTTGGGTAGCGTAGGTTAAAATTCTCATTCTCCTGCCTCCACCTTTGAGTGCTATGATTTTACCAGCTGGCCAGTGTTTTAACAAGTGATTCTGATCATATGGAAAACAACTGTGGGTCCCACTGTAGCTACACAGCACCGTCACCCTGGGAGCTATAAAGAATTACTATTTGGCCGGGCGGTGGTGGCGCACAACTTTAATCCCAGCACTCGGGAGGCAGAGGCAAGCAGATTTCTGAGTTTGAGGCCAGCCTGGTCTACAGAGTGAGTTCCATGACAGCCAGGACTATACAGAAAAACCCTGTCTCAAAAAACAAAAAAAAAAAAAAAAAAAAAAAAAAAAGAAAGAAAAAAGAATTACTATTGCCTGGCTTCACCCAGACCTTGAAACAAACCTCAAGGAACCTCTAACAAAGTTCTCAAGAGAATTCAGTGTGCAGCTCAGACTGTAAACTAGTGGCTTCACCTAATGACTTCAGTAAGAAAGTGTTCGAGGGAAGCGGTAACCGAGAGCCAGGTTGTGAATTTGGTCTAATGCTGCTTGTATTATGTTAATTTGTTCCCTAAAATTTCACAAGAATCCCCACGTCCAACAGATAAGATGCTGAGGGACCCTGTCCCCAGTTGGTTTTGATTGGTAAATAAAGTTGCCAGTGGCCAATGGCTGGCCAGAGAGACAGAGGTGGGACCTTAGGATTCTTGGGCAAGAGACTGAGGGAGGGGAGAAAGAGATTGCTGCCACACCAGGGAAGGAGTAGATACCACACCTGAGGTGTGCTGGACAGAGAACATAGCAGTCATGTGGATGCTGGGGAACTCAGTCTGAGAGGGCTGCAGGTCTGGGTCTGGGGCAACCAAGACGGAATATAGATTAAGTGATGAGTTGAACTATCACAAGGTACCTCAGCCATGGAGTCGATTTGAGTAATGATCCCTGGGAACTGCAATAGCGCCTCAGCCCAGTGAACAGTGCCTTACAGCAAGCAGAATGTTTGGACAAGGACTGGAAGACATACTGTTACGTTTTTATCCAATCTAATGTCAGAAGTAAATGCCAGGCATAGCAGGCGTGCATGAATGCTGGGTGTAGCACCTGATTTTTTTTTTAACTTCCCTTCCAGAGTTTCCCTTCTGTACTGTTACTTTCTCTACATGAAAACACTCAGTTTACATATTTTTCATGGCCAAAGAACAGCGTTAAGAATCTGTTATACCATCAGACCTGGAGGCTGTGGATTGGAAGGTTTGTCACGGAGGAGTGTGGGACCTGTGGGCTTCACTGTCAAAAGTGAGGTTGGACTAAATTATCTCCAGTGGCTTTCTGTCCAAGTTTTCAATAATTTCTTGGCTACACTTCATAAGAGACCATACAGGATGCTGCTTTTTCCTAGACTGACACCATGAGGCATGTCTATCCTTTTGGTCTTATGTCCTGTTTCAAGGCCGGCTACGTCTGTCACTCACAGGCCTATTAGAACTTCAAGACTCAAGATGCAAACCCAGAGTGAACAAAGAAAGAAGGGAGAGGAGGTGGGCCTGGGCTTTTGGAGACTGACTGGAGAGAAGGCTGGGACATCAGAGTTCTTCCTCCGTCCCATGACAGAAACACAAAATATTCTGAGATACCAAAAGGAAATGCTTCTTGTCAAAAGGTCACAGACAATGCAGTAAGGTTTCCACGAGGATAAATCTGTACAGTGAAATATTTGCTAAAATAGTTATCTTTGTTATATCTTTTGAAAATTTACCATATTAAAAATGTCACATTTTAGCAAGGTGTGGTGGCATACACTTTCAATTTCCTTTGGAAGACAGAGGCAGGCAGATCTATGTGAGTTTGTGGCCAGCCTGGTCTATACAAGTTAAACACCAGACAAAGTAAATAGTGAGACTGTCTCAAAACTATCAAAGCAAAAATACCAGTCAGATTCTAGACCCTACCATTACTGCTTCCTCTAGCTACCATCTTGGTACCCTGGGGGACCATGTGTATGTCACTTCAGAAGACTGCAATCCTATCTCCTTGTGTCGGGTGGGGCTGCTCGGTAGGAAAGCCGGCAAATGACCCCTTTAGAGTCCTTCAGGTGTCTCTTAACAAGGAAAGGCTTTTGTTACCTGAGCAGCACGCCCCTCCTAACATAGGGCTCTTTTTCATTTTTGTTTCTAAAGGAATCTAGGTAGAACTTCCTTCTATAAGCAAATTAACTCAAAACCCTACTTGCTCTTTCTAATAGCCTGGGATAGAAGTGGAAAATCTCTAGGTAACACTACCTTTGGAAGACAGAGATCAAGCCTGTCAGTACCACCCAGCCACATCCACCAGATACTGTTCACTGGTGGTCATGTTCTTGGCCTGTGCCTGCCACACCTCCTCCACCTAGAGATCCTTGTGGAGGTAGCCTTCATAGCCACATTCTCTCCATTGGAACTGCCACTGAGCACTTCCACTGGGGCCAGTGAGCCTCTCAATGCACTAAATCTCACACTTAAAACCTTTCAAAGGCTTGTTGTTGCCTTCATAACAACCCCCGAGGTATTCCTGTTCTACAATGAGCCTCCAAGTTTCCCCTTCACTTCTATACCTACGAGCTATTTATCCAGACATACTTTTCCAGATATACATTTCCTTAACCATCACTGAGGTCAAAGGGCTGCACTAACCTGTAAAGCCTATGCTGAGACAGAGGCACCGGCTTTAGTATCTCCATCTGTTTAAACCTTACGTCCCACAAGTCAAGTGGCACAGACACAGCCTTGCATTGGAAAGGTTATCTTGAGAAGTTGGTGATATGAACTGTGAACTGTTTATCTCATCCAGGAAGGCATCTAACATGAGCATAATAAATGTTCACAATGACCGTCTTATTCTCATTATCTGGAACTCTGTCTCCAGGTACCCTAGGTCTGCAGAGCCCTTACCGTCCAAAGTTCAGTTAAAATTCTGTTTTCTCCAAGACCGTTCTCTCCTGAAAGCCCGGCCTCTCGTGGTTTCTCTTAATTTGCTTAGCTGACCACTGTCCTTTCTCTGTCCCATGACAGAAATGCAAAATATCTTCTGAGATAACAAAAGGAAATGCTTCTTGTCAATGCAGTGGTTTCCATGAGGAAACTTAAAGCCACAAGGGTCTCCTGTTCCACTATCAGCTCTGGGGAGACCTTGACTCTTACATCAACAGACTTGTAAAAGGACTTGTACATACGAGAGGGTTAATCTACTGTATGAAACTAATGACAGAAGTTCAAAGTCCTCTAAAGCAGTAGTTCTCAACCTTCCTAATACTGCCACCACGCTCTGGTGACCCCAACCTAAAACTATCGCATTGTTCATTCATAACTGTAATTTTAATAAAATGAATAATAGACACATCTGATATGCAGGATACCCGACATGTGACGCTGTGTGAGGTCTCAACCCACAGGAGCTAGGTATCAAGTTACATTTGCAGGAGACAGAGACCTCAGTTCTGTCTGGAGGGACTTTGGTTCATTTTTGCTTTGCAGATAGAGAAATTTAAAAATATCTGAAAGTATTTCAAAGAGGCTAAAATTTTATGGCAGGCTTCTGAATTCTGTTCATAAGAAGAAAATCATTTATCAAACGTCGTAGGGGTGTGTGTGTGTGTGTGAGTGTGTATGTGTACATGTGTGTGTGTCTGTGTGTATGTGTACGTGTGTGTGTGTGCACACGTGTGTGTGTGTATGTGTGTGTAAAATGTCTCTCTCCAAACTAAGGACCTGGGTCCTTATTTGTCTGGGTCTGTACTGAGTCTCCACAAATGGGCCAGTACTTGAAGCTTCTCCATCCTTTGTTACTGTCAGAGGAACAGGGGATGCCCATGAGTAGTGGCCCCAGAGACTCTCGATGCAAAGGATGAGATCCCCACCCAGTCCTACAAAGAGCACACAGGAGAAGACGCTCCTAGAAAGTTTCAGTCACTGCTGCTTCTCTTCAGGGTCCAGGTTCAGGTTGGTCTGTCATGCTGGCCTGTGACTGCAAGCGAGGTGGAACAAGAGGGCTCAAGAAGATGGACAGGGTGAGGCGCTGAGAGGGAGGGGGATGGGCAGGGTGAGGCACTGAGAGGGAGGGCTGCCATCTACCTTGGTCTTCTGAGAAGCAGCAAAGAGACTGTTCCAGAGTGGAAAGGCAGGCCACAACAAACAGCTTGCTTCTATCTTCGCACTCCCTGTACCACTAACTGGTCCAAGGACAACAAAGAGGGTTATTTACGTGGCTTTTCCCAAGTAACCAAGATATGGGCAGTACCACTGTAAAGCCATATGTGCTTTCTCCCTCCTTGGAGTAAAGCAAACCTTAATTAGGCCAGGAGCATGTGAAGAGCTATAATTAAAACGCAGCAAGCAGCTTCCTTCTCCTTAGGAGACAATACAGGTTTTGTGCATCTTTTCATCTTAAGAGAATATCGCTGAGCATCACAATGAGGTCCAGGGGACACAACTCAGGGACTGACTGTAGTGGTGAGAAGTGACTTCTAACCACAAATGAAGGAGAACCTTTGGCATAGTACTTTCTGGAATGCTACCAAAGCCTCATAGGAAACAAGGTCATCGGAAACACTTGAGTCTGATTGGAAAAGCTCTATCCTCATGGTCACCCCAAAGCCCTAAGACGTCAGAAGGGCTGGCTGGTTTTGGTCATAAGAGGTGGGTAAGTTATGTCGATATCATGCCCTGAACAGAGAGGAGCAAAAGGCAATGAAAACAGACTCCTGATGCTTAAAGACAACAACATCCCAGCTGAGGAGTGTTCCTGAGAGCCATTAAGATATTTCACAGATTTGCTGGCTTGGATGCGTATGTTTTTATATCTGGTAGAAGTGACTGCTTTAAGTGAGGAAACAGACAAAGAAAAGGTCCGAATAAGCCCAAGCACACATCACACGGCAGTTCTAGGCTCCTCTGCCTTCCATGCCTGTTTCTGAATTGTTGGCAGGTCTCTCTATGAAGGATGCTGAGAAAAAGACATTTACCTGTATCTACCTCCTTAGCACATATCTGACTTACAATCAACCATAAGCTATCCCAAAGTCAAAAGCACCCACTTCCTCTACAGTGTAGAGGCCACTTTGGAACGAGGAAGCCTGTGAAGATACTTTCACATCCATGCTCTTCAGAAGTGCTTTTCCTTCTTCTGACCATGACAAAGCTGAAGGCACCTCCCTGGCTTAAGTCATAAGGACCGCTCCCGCACACTTGACAAATCTTTAGCACAGAGCAAACAGGCTAACCTGAAGCAGGTATGCCTGGAATCCTAAGTACTAGCCCAGCCCTCTTGCGCTGAAGGGTTTTTTGTTTTGTTTTGTTTTGTTTTTAACTGTTCATACTTCCTCTGCAGAAAGGGACAGGAACATTGAAACACACCATTAAATGAGGAAGTCTGGTGCAGGGCATCTAGTAGGTACCATGTAAGTCTGATTGGGGCAAAAACCAGGAGCCTCTGCCAGGGTTCTTTGCACAGGCTAAAACTCTACAGCCAACCTACTGCAGTCTTGCTTTGAAAAGCCTGGCTTTAACCAAGAATCTGTAAGATGGGGTGGTGCTGCAGATCTTTCAGTCCCTGCCCTTGGGAGGCAGAGGCAAGAGGATATCTGTTCCAGACCAGCCAGATCTATATAGAGGTATCCTATCTTGAAAGAAAAGAGAGGATGGGGAGGGGAGGAGACGGGGACAGACAGAGACAGAGACTGAGTAGGGGGCTTGTAGTCTTCTGCCATACTTCATTACTTCAGTACAAAGTTAAGTACTCAAAGGTCTGAGGAGTCTGCAGAATGAGATCCAAGGCTTCCTCTCTGGCAGAGGTATTCCTTCCCTTCCTCCCTCTGGAGGTGGTGAAGTAGGGAGAAGGTGTCTGGACTGCACCCTCCCCCTCTCCACTGTGTGCAATCCCTGGGAAGAAGAGCTTCGGCTACACTGCAGGCAAGTACTATTTCTTTCAGATCTCTCAGGAGAGTCAGGTCTTCGGAGCAAGGAACAGTTGTAAGGGAACAAAGTATCATCTATTTTGGGCAATGATCCAGGAATGCCCAACTTACAACTGTGCACCCCAGGAGAGCTATGCAGGGACCCCAACATAAAACTACAAAGTTAAAACTTTCAAACTTCTCTCATGGTGGGGGGAGGAGGTAATGATTTCACGGTGGGAACTTTGTAGGTGACAATGTCAAGAGGCTGGACACACCTAGCAGAGCTTTCCTGCAAATACTGGTCTCTCCAGTTGAGTCAACTTCTTTGCACCCTCCTTAAGCAGGAAGGCAAAGAGCAAAAATCCTTTCCAAAGTATTCTAAAAACAAAATACTTTCTCCAAATCCTGTTCTCCCACAATAAAGTTATCTATTTTGGAAAGCCTGAACCAAAAGAAAAAGAAGACAGTTTGGAATATAATACTTCCAAAGGAACTAACTGCTCTGGGGCCACGTCAGAGCCCCAAGCAAGGCAGAGCCCAGAGGTGCTTTGGGAGGTGCTTAGCTACCCCTAATTACAGAGGACAGGAGACTCCAGCACAGTAAGCAGCCTATCAAACACCACATCTCCCATCTTCCCAACAAAACACCATGATTTTCAAAGCACAATTCAGAAAAACACAGTGTGAGCTCTTGGCAACTTGAACAAAGGCAGGAGCCACCCAGGTGGAACACACAACCACACCATGCACACCCAATTCTACCAGAAAAGTCAAGCTTTTTTTGTTCTCCCCCATTCTTGTCCTTTAGAAGCCTGTATTCAAGTTCTTCTATAACTTCTCGGATGCTTGGGGGAAGACAGTCACACCACAAAACCCCATAAACGCTAATATGGGTTGCTTATCTGGGACATTCAACAAACACTTCTGTTTTAAAGTAAAAAAAAGAATTAGTGTAGGCTAAATCATTACTTCAGAAGCATGACCTCAGAGGGGTAGTTGTAGGGTTATTTTTTTAAGTTTCGTTTTGAAACAGGGTTCCATTATCTCGGGCTGGTCTCACACTTGCTATGTACCCAAGGAGGACTGCTATCACACGCATGTGCCACCATGCCCAGCTGTGAGTGCCAGTTCTTTAAAAAGCTGATTAAGATCAGGAGGTGGCCTTGTTGGTAAAGAGCTCTGCAGAAGCTCGAGGACCTGATTCAGACCCCTGGGACCCATGGAAAGCCAGACACAGCAGCACGCATACATAAACCCAGTACAGGAAGAGAGAAACGAGTAAGTTTGGATTTATGACAAACCAGGTCTGTCTTCTTGGGAATACATTTTTTTTTGCATAAAATTTTAAATGTTCTGAATGTTTGAAAGATAATTTGGTCATCTTGACATAGGGTACTATATACAACTACTAGAGAAAAAAAAACTATACTCAAAAAGTAATCAGCTGTAACCTATAACTTATGTCTGATTGTTACATAGTATAAAAATGTGGTTCTCATATTTGCTGTTTTCCTACTCCTATACAAGGACAGCTTCTGTGGTGCATACAACCAAAATAACAATGAAGAGATGTAAAGGAGACTTTTCATTACAGGTATCTGTCTCATAAGCCAGTGATCTGTCTGTGCCTATGGCCTGGGCTGAACTGGGATGCTGATGGAATACCACAAAAGCACTTCAGTTTGGAACAGAGACACAGAAAAGGCTGGGGGGAGGGGCAGGGAAGAAGAATCAAAGAGCTGGTGCCTGTGGGTTTAGGCAGAGTTGAGCAAGCAGGACAGCCTAGGGGAGTCCAGAGTACTCTCCCCACCCCCTTCCCCGGCATAGGAGCATCCCTAGGGTGACCAAAGGCAAAAGGGCACCGTACAGCACTGTGCCCGCCTCCCTGACAGCTGCTGCAGAGTCCAGGATCAGTGTGTGAACCACAGACTGAGCAGGACTAGCGTGCCCTTTGGACTACATCAAACCAGACAATTAGATCCTCTCCATGAAGGGCCTCAGAGGTCAGAGGCATAATGGGAAAAGAGCAGACACATCAAAACAGCTCCATGTCGGAGCAGAGCAGAGCAGCTGTCTGAGAGGAACACGGTGTGCAACACTGTAACAAAGGATCAGAAGCAGCTTTGATAGCTAGCTGCTGGGCTGACAGGGAATGCAGGTCCAGCTGGTGCAGAAACAGTAAGGGCAAGTCACTCCAGATCTTGAAGGTTTGCATTGGTTCCTTTTACCTTATAAAAGGCAACTTGAGGGGTGGAAGGGTTTATTCTGGCTAAGTTCAGAGAATGTGTTCGCCTGTGGTGGTCAGAAGGACTTGCTTCACTCTGGAGGCTGGGAAAGGAAGGCCATCATCCATTTGACCTTCTCCTTCCCTACTTTCTATTCAGGTCAGGGATGTTGCCATCCAGATAAACCTCTCTGTAAACACACCCAAAAGGATGTCTCATTAATGCCCCAGCACCTGTGGCCTCGGCGCTTCCTGATTCAATCAAGCAAGCTGATGTTCAGAATTTACCATCATGGGGTTCTCACCAAGAAGACTGACACGGGGCATTTGACAGACAGTGTCACTACTCAGGTGAGACACTCTCTGAGGGTGGGAAGCATGTAGACTCCTGTGCTTCTGTCAGAAGGCTTCTCTTCTACATTGCCTACATCAATGAGGGAAACCTAACACACCCAACACTGTCAAACTAATACATCTCACATCTCAAATACACTGAAAACTCAGGACTGTCTGGCCGTTTCCTGGAGCTAAACATAAGGTCAATGGGGTATCTGCAAGCACAGCCTCCTTTCCCTCCCCAAAGCATCACCTATAAATACACCGGTACTCCGTTTACATTTTGGCCTTGTGGTACTTTCAAGATTGATTTCTTTTTACCCTGCTCCTTTCCTGCCTCTGCGGCTCCTTTCCTTTCCTGGTTCCCCTTATTTAAGAAGACTTCTGTATTTCCTTTACGTGGCCATTACTTTTCCTCGTATTGATTCAGAACATGTCAAGGCACATTTGTAATTAATGAACAAAAATACCAATGACTGCGTATTTGCTTTAAAAATTCCTTATAGCTTCATAAGCAAGAAGGTAACTAGTGTGCACAACACTGCACCCCAAGGGCCTTACAATCTTCTCAGCATAGTCGGTTAGCCTTCATGGCTGCCCTGCTATGTTAGTTAACAGAATACAAATGCTAGTTCAAAAAAAAAAAAGCTGGAACTGAAATAAAGTCCCAGGCTTGACAAGGACATACTACAGTCACCACTGGTGAGTTGACGGAAGGACAGAAACAACAGTCATGTATGATGATTGTGCTGAAGGACTAGGGGCTTCTCACGCAGCAGGAGAGATCTGAATGCTGTTCTGTGTTGCCTTTTGAGTCCTGAAAGCTTCAGAGTTAAAGATGGGATTCCCCTCTGTATATTTCAAAGCGCTCTATCATTTGGGCCACACTGTCAGAGAGAAATCGGTGCTTTTGATACAGGCTGCCTGGAAGCCCTAGTCAGATGCACAAACTGGCAGTTTGCACAGCAATTTTCTTCTCGTTACCTCTAAGATATCTGTATACAAAGTTAAATGACACTATAGCTATCTCGTCGGGGCTTATGAAGCATTGGGGCTTGTGAAGCACACACATAGGTTCTCTAAAATTCAATCACTTTAAATAGTTTCTAGAATATACTATGTACAATATTAAAGTCTATAAATTCTACGGAAGCTTCCTTAAAGAACTGGCTTTATCCTTGTTCCATTAGTGAGAGAAAAGTTCACTCTGGAACCTGACGGCTGACACAGTCTGTCCCTGGAACAGGAGAGCAGCTCCCAGCACCAGGCCAGGAGTCATGCACATGCACTGCCCCTGCCTCCAGGCCCGCAGTCTCCATCCTAAACTGCCTTCATTCTAGAAAGGAACAGAAAAAAAAAAAAAAAGCAAAACAACAACAGAAAAACAAAAAACAAAAAATAAAAAAAAACAGACTAGTCGTAAGCGTTTCTCTAGTGTATAACATAAAAGCGATGGCGGCGCTGTTCTCCCCCTGGGCAGCCGTCTCTACCCAGGTAGAGGGGAAAAACAGATCTTTCAGCTCCATCCCCTCCAGTGGTCACAGCAGTTTCTACTAGCTCACATCCCTGAGCAGTGAGCCAGGAAGTCACCACTACAGTTCCTTCCTCCCCTCCCCCTCCCTTTTCTCTACTATCCCCTGGAGAATTGAAGCTGCAATAATGCCTAACTAAGAATATCTGAATGTGTCCACTTTGTGTGTAGATAGGCATTCTCTGTGCAAGGGATTTAGTAATAGGCTAATGTGAGCCAGGAAAATAGAGTCCTTCCAAAACACACAGACAAACCGTGCTTGCCAATGGGGGACAGCATTTCCCTGTCTTCCTGGCTCTACAGGCTGTATTATTATCCCTTGCAAAACAGGGAGAAGTGAAATGTTGACTCTGATTATTTGTCTCTGAAGCCAAAACATCTGATTTTTTTTTTTTTAACATTCTAGCCATGTAAAAGGAATTATTGGGCCCAAACTCACACACACCCTTAGGATTCCAAATGAGAATCATACTATGTGTGTCTTAGCTTCTAAAATCAGCTTATACACAACAGAGTATACACTTGTGTGTCCCATACAACACTGCCACGCACAATGAATATGCATAGCAGAACTTTAGAAACAGAACTTGCAAGATTTGACAAGTTACCAGACCAGAACAAAGGCAGAATTGCCACAGAATTTACCAAGTTCCACCCACTTCCTCCTCCACATGAGAAGCAAGCGTTTACTAATAATAAAATGTGCCCAGATCTGCTTTGCACCTTTCCCGTGCTTGTCCAGCCTGTCTTTTACACGAGTAAGAATGTTTTTGAAGCTATTTAACTTAGTTCTCAGTGTGCCACAGAAAACACGAGTGACAGAAACTCAGTAACAAAAGCTTCTTCTTTAAGGTATTCCAGAGGACATCTGTACAGACAACTGGTTTTTAAAGATCAATTTAAAAAACTACTTAAAATGTATTATGGGACTCACTGTCCCTCATTCTCGAGTCAAATAGATGCCTTTCCTCATGTAAGGACACAACTCAGGCCGACCACAGCAGCACAGCTCCATGGAAGGAAACCCTACTGCCACGGACCTACCTCACAGAACATGTAGAGAGACAAAAGGGTGAGTCCAAGGTTATACACCACCAAGATGCCTCGGCAAGAGAGCGGCTGCTTGTTCTTCATGTATTTTGGTCCCAGCCATACGATGAGTAAGTAAATGACAGAGCAGACAAACGTAGGGATGTAATTGTCCAGAAGAAACCATCCTTTGACTCTCGTATCTGAAAAGGATCAGAAGAAAAACATTTATTTGCCAATTAGGTACACATAAGGAAAACTACTTCCAAAGCCATCTGACACTAATGGTGCATTTAATCTGTGCAATACAATAAAAGCAAAATACATATGAAACAAAGCAAAGCTTTTTGATACAAGTTTACTAAGTAAAATAGTAAAAACATGCTTTCAAAGAATCTGAAAGAAAATGGAAAGTCAAATTACCCAATAAGTTTATTATGTTTACTGAATTAACATGGAATCAAAAACCACAGGAGATGGTAGTTTGCATTCAAAAGCCTTCCAGTTCAGTGAGTGCCCAGCATGTGCAGGCACAAGCCATGTGCCCTCTAGCCAGGTGAGGGACACTGTGACTGACAAGAGGGCCAGCAATAGAGGCCAACAAGTAAAAAGAATGAAATGCTATTGGCTCAGCCACGATCGGACTTGGGACTATGTAAGGCAGTGGTTCTCAACCTTCCTAGTGTTTCAACCTTTTAATACAGTTCCTCATGTTGCAGTGACCCCTACCATAACATAATGTTCATTGCTACTTCATATCTGAAATTTTGCTATTGTTATGAATTGTAGGTATCTGATAATGCAGGATATCTGACATATGACCCCCGTCAAAAGGTCACTTCATCCCCAAAGGGTCCTGACCCATAGGTTGAGGTCCTGAACTCAGGTATTTAGAGCACTATAGGAACTTGAGACCTACACTGACTCAAAGGACACTCCACTTGTACCCTCTCTCCTAGGAAGGACAAAGAAAGGGAAGAAACCCAAGTGCCCTGTTGTCTGCTGGACTGCCTTGCTCAAGCCCTCATTTCCTACCCTGGCCTCACAGAAAGGAGGAATATGCTCCCTTTGGGGAACTACATGCCAGTCTTCCTTCTGTGCAGACACTTGACCCCTTGCAGTGTGTCTGCCACTGCTTGTTTTCTTTTGTTTCAGAAAGAGATGTTGCCTCCACTTCTTCCCTGCCAGTTATGCCAGAGTAGTGGGTGATGGCACTGTTGGTTCTCACAAGTCCTTCAGGGAAGTGGCTGGCCCCAGAGACCAACAGAAAAGGAAAGGATTCCTAATACCTTTTGATCTCAGCTCTGAGCCTTAGCAGTATATATTGAGAAAGTAAGTTAACACATACCAGCTAGCATCTACAAAATGAATCTAATTTCCATATCCTTTACTTAAAAGTTCAGCTTAGCACCTTACTGTTTTGCATTGTATATTTCCAACAAGCACCCATCCTCCCTCCAAGAGCACCCATAGCAGCTGGTCACAACCCTAGCTCCAGGGAAGAGAGTTCCTTAGGATCCAGGTAAACATGTCGGCTCACTGTCCAGTGTGGTTTCTCAGTGCAGAAACCAAAATGTCGGGATACTTGTGACTACTAACTTTTCTTTTTTTCTCTAGCTCACACAATAAACAAATATCTTCTTCTTATGCTGGATGAACAGCCTGAGCTGCTGCAATCATGAAGGTGGCCATCTTGAGGACAGATGAGGATGGCAAAGTGGAAAAATACAAAGAACAGGGTTCTTTCTCGGTTACTACCACAGTGCCCTTGAGATGGGCTGTTCTTCCTTGCAAAGTAAACTAATCATTTTTATTACTTCAGACAATTAAAAGGTGAATTTTCTGACTATAACAAAGTAAGAAGGCACCATTTCAACACAAGCAGATGGAAATGCATTTCATTGTTCTTTTTCTGCCTTTCACCATATAGCTTGGTATGGCTTGGAACTTGTCACATGATTTATGCTACTCTCAAACTCATGATTTTTCCTGCTTCAGCTTCCTGGGTGCTAGGATTACAGGTGTGAGCCTGCACTGCCAATGTAATTTGTTCTTTCAACTGACCACCCTCTAGTCTAACCTGTTCCTACTGAATGGGCAACTAGCTGATGCCTGGTCCTAACAATTCTGAGAAGGGCATCCTTCATGTATCTTTGCAAAACGATCAAGAATCACTGTAGTATAACAGCTTAAGGCATGTGCATTTTACTTGCCACAGAAGCAAAGAGGTTGTAGTAGGTTAGATGCCCCATGTCCTTATCCTTATGGCAGATGTTATCAAACACCTTTCCTCTTTGACCCTCTGATGGATGAAGCTCTTTTGTTGTTTGCTTCTGTATCTTAAAAATGACTGAAACTGAGACTCCTCTGCTCTGAGAAGACACTGTTTACAAGCAGTTGCCTAGTGAGGGCTTTGGGGAAAGTGACCATGAGGTAGGTCCCTGACAGCATTAATGGGTGAATCTGTCGGTTGGTTCATCCTTGACTGGACTACAGAGATGCTGAAAACTGTAGAAGGTGGGGCCTGGCAAGAGAGGACAGATCAACATGGCTTCCCTTTGAAGCATATGAGATGATGTGAAATGATTTTTTAATTTAAAAAAAAAAAAAGGCAGTGGTGGTGCACACCTTAAATCCTAGCACTTGGAAGGCAGAGGCAGGCAGATCTTGGGTTCAAGGCCAACTAGGTCTTAAAAAAAAAACCCAAAAATCCTTAAATGACTATTAAAGATGTGGAAGAGGATGGGTGATGGGGAGGGGAAAGGAGAAGGTAACAGAGGGAAAGAACCAAGAACATTCTGTAGACATGGGAATCAAAAGGAAGCCGATTACTTTGTACAATTAACACATGTCAAAATAAACATGACGATTTTTTTAAAATTAAATTTAAAAATGAGAGTAAAGTCTTATGGACTTATTACAACCTAACTCAACACCAGCACTTCTCCAGCACACATGAAGCCCTGGGTTTCATGCCCAGCACTGTATGCAGACACTTCTATTTGGCTGTGGTGCCGCACAGACACTTACGAGTCTAGCACTTGGGTAGCTGAGGCATGAGGATCTCAGGGGTTCAGGGCCAGTCTGGCAATAGTTCAAGACCCAGTTTTTAGAGAAAAGAAGCCTTTGGAACTTTGCCAAGAAGAGAGCATCTTGACCTCTGGTTGAGTGTGTTTGGAATGCACTGGCTTGGTTTCCTCTAGAGAGTCAAGATTTAAGAAAAGCATACCACTATCAATCACTACTAAGTTACTGGAGTTCACAGGCTGCAAGTATGGAAACTGAGGCTGGCAGAAAGATGTCCACAGCCAGGGAGTCTCTGCCTCAAGAGCCAGGGGATAGCATTCAACTAACAGAGAACTTCACAAGGTCCCTTGTTTCTGGAGTTAAAGTTTTGAGCTCATCACAGAAAACATTTTCCAGGATCTCATGCAATATTTACAAGAGGCTATAGAGAGCCGGAAGGGAGCCACAGATGATGAGCTAAACCAGAAGCCGCCTTACCTCGGGGGCCCAGTAAGGCCTTGAAATAGGTACTGAGTGATGCATCAAAATGCTCCATTTTAAAACCTATTAAAGAGAAAGGAGACATTGATTACTGTCTACTCAAAATACTTCTTATATGCATTTTCCTAAAGGAACAAGAACAAGCCATTTTCAAAAGAGCAAAGAGAAAGGTTGAACTCTTCATGCAAACCAAAACTGCTCCCCACTTACTCCAGGCAACTGATGTGCTAGGGCTGAGAACCAGAACAATGATGCGGCTTGTCAATTCACCAAGTCCCACCTCCTGGACTTCTTTTCTCAGTTCCAAGGAAACTCGCCCTGTGGTGCTGAACCTCAGTGCAAAAAAAGGAACTGGGAATGAAAGGTGGCAGACATCCATCCTCACAGGGAAAGGACACTCAAAACAGCAGGAGAGGAGTTGTGTCCTTGCTTGTCACCAGATATAATACTGTATATAATATATGCTGTGCATATTATATATACTTAGGCTATACAACATAGTATATATTATATACAATTTAAAATAGTCTTATTGTGTGTGTGGGGGGGAGGGAGCTATATATGTAGAAGTCTGAGGACAAGTCTGGGAATTGGTTCTTTCCTTTTACCACGTGGGTCCACAGGGCTCAAACTCAGGTGGTCACAAGTCAGGTTGGCAGCAAGTACCTTTACCTGCAGAGCCATCTTGCCAGCCTAAGCCTTCCCCCAATGCTGTTATTATGGCATTTACACACACACACACACACACACACACACACACACACACACACAAGGACCACAAACACACATGTAGAGAGACACAGACACACACACACACCCCCTTCCCCCACTGTCTCTCACCTTGCTGGTCCTCTTACATTCCCCCAGTCACCTATACTCCATTGACCCCTGCTCTGACTCTGCTCCCTGCTTAAAATTACTTGTCACCTTCATTTTTATTTTAAACACTTCATGTCCAAAGTAAAAAATTAAAATATGAAACACCATGTCCTCCAACGACAGTCAAGCCAGCTCCACACAGGAGGAAGCCGGTGGTAGTGCTTGAATAAACACTCCAAAAATCTCTCCCCTTTGGAGCACACACAAAAAGAGGTCACAATGAACAAATTTTTCTAAATTTAGATTATAATTCATTAGCAAATAACCAAGTCAATTTGGCATTAAAAATAGCAAACTGATCACAGTAATGAGTCAAGGTGTTCATCCTCAGAACTCTGAATTAATGTTGAGATGGGTGTGGAAGTACACACCTTTGAGGTAAGAGAAATTCTGATTTGAGGCTAGCCTAGGCTAACTGTAGTTCAAGGTCAGCTGAGGCTACAAATGAGACCTTGTCTACAAACAAACAAACAATTCAGTTAAATTTAATATAACTTTAATTTATGGTTATCAAATTCACAATCATGTGTTTAGCCATGCTGTAAATATAGCTGCACTGTTCAACACAGAATCAGTTACTGAGCCTGCAGTTCTTCTGAAAACCTTCAAAACCATTTCTAAGTACAGCCAAACCTCTAGGGAAAGGGTGGGGCATGGGGTGGGTAATATTTCAAGAGAGAAACTTGGGAGAACAAGAGATTACCTAAAGCAGCAGCTAAATGAAAACACTAAATATCAAGGATCTACTGCCTCCCATGTCCAGCGGAGTGCAAACAGGGATAGACGTTCAACAGCGTCACCTAGAACAAGTGACGAGCACAGAAGGCACAAGGACCCAGGCCTGACGCACAGCAGATGTTGGAACGCACCTCCGTGGTAGTTGTACACACACATTTAATGCTACACAGTAGGAATAACATTCAAGTCACAGCATTCTGGATTCTGATATCAGGCATAGTTCCCGGAGAGACATGAGGAAACAATACAAGAATCGTTCACTCTGCTTGTTAACCAAGGCTTTTCAGAAAGCGAGGAGCTTTGGTTTTCTAACTAGAGGCTACAAGAAAGCTGGAAACAAGACTGTAGAAAGGCTTTAAATGATACAAGGCTAACTGGCTGGGTGGGGGTGGACAGTGTAGGAGAGTCATTAGTGGACTGGGAAAAAAGTAAGTTCCTGGAACTGCTCTGAATGACCTATTATTCCAAGGACAGCGGCCTAGGACGGAGTCCAGCTTGAAAATCTAGGCTAACGTGGCCAGAGAAAAGCAGAAAAACGTAAGGTCAAATTTCAGTCTGAGAGTACTGAATCCAGCAGTGGGCTACGGGAAAGACTTGTGTGTCTGTCCTAGATAATCTGTCTAAACTGCTCGGCTGTGGAGGGCTGCAGGAGCTGGCACACATGAGGGGCCCTCTTCAAAAGCATACCCAGGAGGAGACTTTGCCAGAGTGCCACATCTATTCTGATGGTGCCTTTCTGCACAACTCTCCTCCTGGGTTTGCAGAACTTTTCTCAAACAAACTTAGGAACATAGTGAAAAAGCAAACAGTCTTTGGAAGAACAGACATGGGAAACAGTCAAAGGATCTATGTCATAGAAAGACCCGCTGTTCGGATGATGAAGTAGGGGCTGACCCATGACTCACCAGCCTGTTTCTGACACGACAGGAGTCTTCCCCCCACAACACACCCACAACTGGGCGTGTCCATGCGCTCTTAACAGCTGCGGCTGCTCATTCACACCCACAATGCCATGCTTCTGTCCAGCATTCACCCATCCACACCATTCGTTTTTTTCATTTACACCTGTACAATTGCTGTCCACACCAAGTGCTAGGCACTGAAGACTTAAAACCCTAAGAGATAGAACAGTTCGGAAAACAGAATTCAAGGCAGGGGAGAAAAACACTACATACAAAGAGGATCTAAACGGTTTCAATAACCTGCAGTCGACTGTAGTCCGGGAATATTAGACTGAAAATAGCAGAAACATTTTTAGACTGGTATTAGACTGTATAGCACTCTGAGAAGAGAGGTAAAACCCACACCATCCTGTCTGGGGCACAAATCACTTTGTCCAGCATATCCCCACCAACTACACACTACCAACTGGAAAAACACTTAGTGACATCTACTTATCAGACTGGCTGTTCACACAGCCTTTATAAGTGACTTTAAAAATACTAATGCTGGCAATTTGGAGATGTGAAAATAAGCCTTTTAAAGTGTGCTCTATGTAAAAAGGTTAAAATTGTGTGTGTGTGTGTTCGAGAGAGAGTGAGACACAGAGAGAGACCTAGTGTGTGTGTGTGAGAGAGAGTGAGACACAGAGAGAGACCTAGTGTGTGTGTGTGTGTGAGAGAGAGACACAGAGAGAGACCTAGTGTGTGTATGAGAGAGTGAGACAGAGAGAACCAGTGTGTGTGAGAGAGAGAGTGAGACACACAGAGAGAACTAGTGTGTGTGTGTGTGAGAGAGTGAGACACAGAGAAAGAACTAGTGTGTGTGTGTGTGTGTGTGTGTGTGTGTGTGTGTGTGAGAGAGAGAGAGAGAGAGAGAGAGAGAGAGAGAGAGAGTGAGACAGAGAGAGAACTGTGTACAGGCTTTCATATAACCTCTGGCTTCAGGCATTCAGTGGGGGTCTTGAAGTACATCCAAGTGGATAAGAAACAACCATATTAATGACAGGCACATACATGAACCGTGATATACCTTCACAACAAGAAGAAAGCAGGGTAATGAATGAACCTCAGAGTGGGACTTATTTTCAGAAATTGAGTTAGAGCAGTCTGCCCTGAGGACAGCAGGAGTGAATGCACGAGCCAGCCCTGTGTCCATCAAGAGAATGGGCACTGCACTCCCTTTAGAGAAGCACAATGGCTCCTGGGCTTGGGTGCATCTGGCCGGGTTCTGCAGAGGGCAGTCAAATGGCACAGCTTGCAGAGAGCATGTGGCGAATGGCTTGGAAAGGAGAGGGGTGCCAATCCTCAGCTGCTCACACCACCCCTCCCCCGATGCTGCCGTGGACGACCTGAAACACTGTGCCCTTTCCATCTCCTTCACAGGTCATTTGCCGAGCCACACGACAGTACAAAGGTCTTCCTTGCCCTGCTGGACAGACCCACTGTTAAGTAGCCTTTGGGACATACTCTCCTACAGGTGCAGAACCCTGAAGAACCCTTGACACTTTGCCTAGTCATCAGGAATTATGGGAATGCCATGACCCAATTTGCAGCAATGTTCAATCATGCTGTCAGGTCTGCAGCCTGCCTGCCTGCTGTAGTTTCCAGCCTCCAAGCTGTGAAGCCCAAAGACATGATTCTCAAGTGTGCTAGGCCAAGTGGGAACACAGCCACTCTATACTGTGGTGCTAGTAGGGACCAAGCCAGGCACTGGGCCTCTGTAGAGGAAGCTTTGATCCTCTGGAGCAAGCAACAGGCCTTTCTTTGATCTGCCCAGCTCCTCACAAATTGACAAGAAATACATGACAAGAATGGATTACTCTCCTTAGAAACTAGACCCTGCTGACACTAAACCAAAGTAACAGCCTCTTTAACTTGGGGTCTCTGACCTCTACTCAACCTGACTAGACTCACAGAAACTGCAGGCCATAGCCAGGCGTATCAGAATCTATTTTTGTTTTTTGAAATTCCAACCATAAGAGTACCCAAAAGCTAATCAAGAGTTCGAGAGCACACATAAAACACATGGTTAAAGATTAAACAAGTGAGCAGGGATCGGTAAGTTAGAACAGACTTCAGCCAATCTCCTTTTCTGTCTGTAACAGACAAAAATGCCTAAGGTTGGCCTCAAAATGGTGCCTCAGCCTCCCAAGTGCTAGGATAACCGGTGAGCATCACCAGGCAAGGTAGAACTCCACATTAATACTGCAAGGGTGCCGGTAGACAGTCTCAGTTAAGTCTTTCCCCACTTTAAAATTCTAGACCAACTTTTGGTAATCATGCAACTATAATATTGTGTCACATTTTAAACATCACACTATGGAAACCTGACTGGTGCTGGCATTCTGTTTATAAACTCCCCTGAATTTACCTGGGTTCAATTCCCAGCCTCCCCATATAGCAGCTCACAATTGTCTATAGCTCCAGTTGAAGGGAAGCTGGCACCCTCCCACAGACACACATGCAGGCAAAACACCAAAATGAATGAATGAATGAATGAATGAA